TTCAAGGAATCAGAATGAGAGATAGAGCATATAGGTAGCCATGTGAGATTTGAGCCTGCTCGTTTCTTTCTTGTGCGATAGATCCCTATTCCATGATGTGTAGCATTCCCGTTGTTACTAGCTAAGATGATGGAGGCATATGATTAGCCCACGACCAAATTGGTTGTCCTAGTGTGTCATACCCCCTAGTCAGCCCCTTTGAGCCGTGTACTTTTCTTTCCTTCGGTCTACAATGGAAGATCACCATTTTTCATCTCTTAGAAGGTTCCACAGAGTGGTTTTTGCATGTTCTCTGCTATTTCTGCTAAATTTAATGTGAGGGTTGGAGGTAAAGCTTAAAAATTGAGCATGTGTTTGAAAAATGTGCAGAGGTGGTGGTTCTCTTAATAAATGAAAAAAAAAGGAAAAAAAAGAAAAAAATGAATGAAAGCAAAAGAGAGCCACTACCCAAAAATTCTGAATCATGCTCATTAAGTAGTGTTTCTTAGCAGTCCGGCTTGGAAATACTAGCATGTATGTGACCTCCTTCGCTCTTGTACTCTAGAGAATTTGAGTAATGCAGAATGGCAGAAAGAAAGCAAGTGGTTTGATTGATTGTGATTGTGTTGGATTTGGAATTGTGGAACCTTGTGCTATGAATACTTCCACCACCTAAAAGGCCTTTTCCCCATGTCCAAGACCCTAGCCAGTCACTTGAACCTGTGTCAAAGACCTCTTGATTAGTTAGTGGTGACATCCCTTGTGTGAGCTCTAACATTTAGAGGCTGCCATCATGGTGAAGAGATGTTAGGATTTGAGAGAATAAGCATGCACATTTTTAGCATCAAAGGTCCTGACCCCATTGGTCGACAGTGAGCGATTCATTTTCTTATTCTTTATGCTCTGTACCCCGGTGAGGACCTAGATGGCTCAGTCTTGATTCTGATGTCTTGAGTTTGATGCATGCAATGACTGTCTTTATCAAGTGGTTGAGTCAAGTCTATGTCGGTTGGTGAACAGAAAGGACTCATCTTCCTTTACCCGATTTTGCTGCGCTCGAATGTCCTCTGTGGTGTTTGTCTAGGTTGCTGTTGAGTTGTCCATATCGCAATGATCAAAAGCCAGTATGATTCACGTGTTCTGTGCCTATATGATAAGTCCCCAATGTTGGTATGATTGAAATATGTTGAGCTTACCTTGTATCTGACTAGGTTTGCTTGGGGACAAGCAAACGGTTAAGTGCGGGGGAATTTGATGACTTGATATTTACACATGATTTTATCCACCATTCATGTACCGTTTGAGTCTCATCTCTTGTGTTTTAGGCCGATTTCACGCTAGATTATTCTTGTTTGTGATATTTCAGGTCCTAGTACGTGAAAGAAGGTTTGGGCACGAGTTCGGGGTCGATTGGACGAAGTTGGGACGTTTGACGAAAAGTTGGAAATTCCACACGGGCAGACCTAAATTCCACACGGCCGTGTGACTTGGCCGTGTGGAATTCCATGATGCGGGCAAGCCACACTGGCCGTGTATGGGACTCCTTGTGGCCGTGTGAAAAGTCCAGGGAGCTCACACGGCCAGACTGGAAATCCACACGGCCATGTGCCTCTGGCCGTGCAGCGTGCAGCGTGGCCGCCGCATTTTGCCATCCACACGGGCAGATTGGAAAGCCACACGGCGTATGGTCGGGAAATTCTGGGTTTTAACCCAATTTTGAGCCAAAGGAGAGGGAGTCGACTTTTTGAGCAAAAAACAGAGTTTTAGAGAGAGAAAGGGCGAAGAACAAACCCTATGAGCTATTTGGAGTGGATTTCTCACCATTGAAGCCCAAATTGCATCCTCAGGAGTGAAGATTGACATCCCAGAGCAGATTCTTCCCATTGTTATGAGTATGACTGCTTTGTATTCTGTTTTCCTCTCTCTCTCTCTCTCTATGGAGTAGAACTTTCTCTCACTTGGGTATAAAGAACCCTAGTTCCATGTGTTAGGGATCTTGATTGTAATGACTTGGGATTGTTATACTGTTTGATTTTAATCGATTGATGAATGATTCATTGAGTCAATTGAAGTCTGATCATCTTTTCTTGATTTCTGCTGCAACCTGAGATAGATAGAATCTGATTAGGTTGTTAGAGCTTCATCAATTGGTAGTGGTAGATTGATTATACGAGAGTTAATTGATTTATTGCTTTGTACTGGAATCCAATTCCAGTAGTGGAGTTCTGCGTTCATAGCCTCGGCTTTCTATCCCGGTGAAGACTAGTAGTCTGCCAGGTAGTTGGACTGAGTGGGCTTGGTCAGCTTAAGAGATTCCAAGCTACTGTCGGATCTTCCGCAGTTTAATCAACAGTTAATCAACCATAGGTAATTACAACCTCGACCTAACTAAGGAGTTAGGGGGAATCATTCCCGAGTGACTCTTCCCTTGCTAAAGAACTTTGAACCATTTCCTGCTTTTTTACTACTTTTAGTTAAAATCACAATCACTCGACTTAGTTTGCTAGATAATAGATATTCACGGAGTAGGCAGTAGATCTAGACCCTGGGTTGACAATTAGAGCTTGCCTGTTACTGCATTTCCGGACTGCGATTACACTTGGTCGCAGTTTGGTGTTGTGTTTTAGCGTGTCAGTAATATCTTCCGCCGTAATAAGAGTCTCCTGAATAAACTACAGTCTCTAGAGTTCCTTAATGATAGGTCTGCAAATAGCTTATCCTTACAGGAAGAGCAAAGGGTTAGGGAGGATCTGGAGGAGACGTAGTGGCAGGAAGAAATGCTATGGCGCCAAAAGTCGAGGGCCAACTGGGTGATCTTCGGAGACTGGAAAACTAGGTTTTTTCACACAAGTACCTTGAGTAGGAGGAAGAGGAATAAGATCACTTGTTTGAAGGATGAAGGAGAACATTGGGTGGATGAACCTGACATTCTGCAAGAGATGGCAAGGAGTTTCTTTGTCAAGCAATTTACGAGGGACTCGAATGCCACTGGGCAAGGAATCGCTACTGACTTTCCTTCCATTGACGAGACTGTTCTAAGCAGAATGAAGGCCATCCTTCACCCGGATGAAGTCATAGCCATCGCGATGAGCATAAATGGGCTAAAAGCGCCCGGGAAAGATGGTTTCCAGGCTATCTTCTTCCAAAAGTGATGGAATCAAATTGGAGAAGATTTCCTCATTTCAATATTTCCTATTTTCCGCTACCTAGTAGGATTAGAGAAGTTAATGGAACTTTGCTTGCTTTGATACCCAAAGTTGATGCCCCCTCTTCGATGAACCATTTTAGGCCGATTAGCTTATGTAATGTCACCTACAAAGTAGTTGCCAAATGCATAGCCAACATGCTTAATCCTTTGATGCCAACCTTAGTTCAACAAACCAGTCGAGTTTTATCCCAAATAGACAAATTACTAATAACATTGTGATTTTGCAGGAAACGGTCCATTCCATATCAAGGAAAACATGGAAGAAATTATCCATGCTGCTTAAAGTGGATCTAGGCAAAGCCTACGATCGTATTGACTGGAAATTTTTGGAGGAGACACTAATGTTTGCTGGGGTTCCAAGCTGTTGCATCAACATCATTATGAACTGTGTGATGACTATAGAGCTTCAAGTCCTTTGGAACGGTGGAGAGACAGAGTGCTTCACACCTAGCAGAGGTCTTCGCCAGGGATGTCCCCTCTCACCCTATCTCTTTACTATATGCATTGAAATGCTTAGCCAGTGCATTAGGGAGGAGGTTAAGAATGGGAATTGGAAACCGACTAGACTTTCTGTGGGGGATCCTGCCCTCTCGCACTTATTATTTGCGGACGACTTGGTCTTGTTTGCTGATGCTATTTCAAGGCAAGTTGGTGTTATTATTCAATGTCTTGACAAGTTTTGTGTGGCTTTGGGTGAACTTGCAAGAAAGGAAAAATTCAGGGTTTTCTTTTCTACAAATGTTAGTCAGGGAAAGGAAAGAAATCTGTGATTTACTTGGTATCCAGGCTACGTTAGATCTTGGGAAATACTTAGGGGTATCGGTCCTTCATGGGAGAATGACTCGTGACAACTATAAGTATATTCTTGAGAAACTGGATAAAAAACTAAGTGTCTGGAAAGCTAAAACGTTGTCTTTAGCTAGGAGAGTGACTCTTGAAACATCCGTTCTTAAAGCAATCCCATCCTATGTTATGCAAACTACATTCTTACATGCTTCTGTCTGCGATGAAATTGGCAAGAAAATTTGGGAAAAATAAAGGTCCACCTGGTCTCGTGGGAACAGATCTGTAAACGCAAAGACGAGGGAGGACTTGGCCTTAAAAACGCTAGATGTTTGAATAGGGCATACATTATCAAGCTAGCTTGGCAGCTTCTTAACAACGAGAATGCTTTGTGGGTGCAGGTACCCCAAGGGAAATACTTCAAGCAAAAGGAGGGGAACATTGTGGGATTAAAGAAAATCTGTAACACCCCAAACTTCGAGAAATTTATAAACAAATTAAATTTTACGAGGAAACAAGAATTCCATTCCTACGCAAGTAAGTTGCGATTGAAACTATTGATTGATGACATTTTAAGAATATTCTGGGTCAATTTATCAATAATCAGTATCTAAGATCGACACTCTAAGTTAAGAAATTCTTCTACGATCACGTAGAATTTTACAGATCTTAATTCCGAGTCCAAACGAGTGAGATAAGTTAGTCCAAAGTGGAACCTATCGTTAGAGTAACGTTTGCGTACCTAAAATTAAAACGAACATATCTTATTCGTTTGATGTCGAAATAACGAGCCGTTTGCGGCCACGCGATCGTATCGACAGGGAGAACATTTTAGATTGAACAGATATAACCCAGAACGTCTATATAAATTTGACGATCACCAACAATTAAACGAGTACAAAAAACAAAGGGGTGCTGGGTTTCTATAATAGAGGGGAAAGTAAAGAGGCCGACAACTTCTATCCCTGCATATGCCAATTTATTGAAAGGCTTGTAGCACCAGATAATGGAAAGATCATCACTCCCTTATCTTGACAGCACAAGAGAAGCAGGCTGCTTTAATAATTTCCCTCACCGAACAACAACTTGTACAATACAAAATCATTACTCTATTTATTCCATCCTTCTTCCTCTCGGCACAAACCATAACCCAGGCCCCTTCCATTCATATTTTCACAAACCAAGGACAGCAGCAGCCCTCTCCATCTTCTTCTTCTCGTACAAGAAACCAGGAGCCAGCACCACCTTCCTTCCTCCCCTCTCTCGATCAAACAAGCAGCTCGCGGCCGAGCATCACCGTCACTCTCCTCCTTCTCGTCCAGTAAACAACTGAGCATCACCATTCTTCTCGTCAACAAGCAACAGCAGCTCCAGCTCATTTCCCTCGCATCAAAACACGTCTAGAGGTAAGGGATCCGAGCTCGGAACTCTCCTACCTCCAAACTTCGGTTAAACTAACCCCAAGACGCGATTATAACGTAGTTGCGACGGCGATCCCGGCGTATTGTACTTCAACGAAGCTTCAAAAGCTTGGTACCATCTCGAAGAGGACAATCCCAGGAACGTCACGGAGTCAACGAAACTAAATTCCGACGTTAGACGAGAGAGAACAGAGCTACGAAAGTTTGAGACGTGAGCTGAAACGTCCAGGTACCTGTCTATGAGAAAATATCTAGATTAGTCCCCTATGTTTTAATATGAGCAGATTGGTACCCTACGTTTCAAATTTTGACAATTTACCGAAAGTAGTATTTTCTTATGGACATGTTTACTTCCGACGCATTTCAGTGAATATTTTTATGATTTGATAATTTTATAAATTAGAGAATATTATTTCGATGACTGGATAATAATTTGAGAATTTTATGAGCTGTATTTATAATTCTAAAAATTCGTAGAACATCGGTTTTAGAAAATTAAAATACTGTATAAGCGACTTCGGTATGTTTGATAATTTTATACGTAACTAGGGTTCTATAAGGTTCCTCATAATAAATTTGGAGATTTTAAGAGGTGATTTAATATTTATAAAAATTAAACTAAGGACGGTTTTATTTAACTAAAATAGTAAAAGAAGTCTCCTGACCCATTTGATAATTTTACAAGAATCTAGAATGACGTTTTGATATTATAAAATTATAGAATTAAGGAGGATAGTTTTTAGTGAGTTAAAGGTCACAAATTGAGCAGTATCGACTAAAAGGATATACGTTCAAATTATAGGTTTAAGGTAACAATCGGAGTAAGGGTTCCACATCAAGGGAACTAAGTAATCGCCACAAGAGGTGAGTGTAAAGGGGGTAAAGTCTACGCCTTACATATTTCCAAGTATTTACCTTACGGTAATTTCGTTTGAGATTTGCTACTACGTGTCATATATGCTTATGTATGTTTACGTGATGCATGATATTACGTGTAAGTTATGTTTCCAGTCATACAGTTGATGACATGTATTTAATTACCAGTAAGTTACTTTTAAGGAGTACAACACCTTCAAGAAAGGTGTAAAGTTTTAAGAAGTTTTAGTCGCTAGCGCCAGTCCGTTGCCCATATGAGATTTTGAGATGAGCAGCAGTTATGCTCTTGAGACTTTTAAGATGAGCAGAAATTATGCTCTTGTGGATCATGGTGAAGAGCCACCATGATAAGTATAAGATGTTAGGGGATCGTTACGACTCCCCTAACTAAGTTTAAGTTTAAGTAAGCCTGCATGGGCTCTCATACGTATGAGTTGGGCAACCGGACTAGCTAGTGGGGGATCCCAGTGTCGGTCAAAGTTTTAAAGTTTTGAGAGTGGGGTTAAGAGTAACTCCCACATTTTAAGAGTTAAAGTTTAAAGGACGGTAGTATAATCAACTTCCACTAATTCATTGTTTGAGGAACACTTAAGGTCATAATCCGTAAGTGTTTCAAGTTTAAGTAATGGCGTAGACTGACCCCAACTCACTCACCAGATCGTAGAGGAGGAGATCAAGATCAGATAGTTCGTGGACAACAGGTTAGAGGGGCTCAACATCAGCGTCGTTAAAGAATGGCGGACCAAGCATCAGAGTAAGCGTTGGGGAAAACTTTTAAGTTATTTGGACTTTGTGGTTGAAAGTTAAGAACTGGAGATTCTGGACGTTTGTTTCTTTTAAGAATATGATTTGGAGTTTTGCCCACATGTTAGGGCTTGTCATTGAGATTTCAAATTATTAAAGTTTGGTGTATTTATTTTAAGTGTGTTTATGAATAATTTTTAAATATACCCCGGGGTAGAAATGTCTTTTACATGTCTCAAAAAGGTGGGATGTAACAAAAGCAACCACACGAGCCTATGGAAAGCCATATTGAAAGAAATGTCCCTGGTGAAGAGTGCCACGTGCTGCAGCATTAGAGATGGAAAAACAACTGGGGTTTGGTCACACCCGTGGCTGGACAGTGACTCGCTCTGACTATCACAATAAAATCCCACCTAAGGTCCAAGTATAAACCTTAGATGGGTGCAATATAGGGCAAGTATGTTTAAATATTGACCTGGGCCGGTCCATGTACCGCTACTTCGACTGTTTGAAACATTATTTAGCGGATCAGTTTTGGTGAAAACAAAGGTTTAAAACTAAATTACTTTGCAAAGGTAAAATGGATTTGACTCTAGTTGAGAAAGTTTCACTCGGGTGTTGCTCCCCCTAGCTAACAATTATGACTTGAAGAATTGAACGATCGTGTGTGGTTAGGGGGTCATAAACCGCAGGGAAGTATAACAAGCAACCAAGGTTACCCTCTTAGACTCTAGGTTTAGGAATGGGATACGATCCAAGCCACTGATGTGACCCACTCAACCTATCGACTAAGGAATGGTTAGAGTTCACCCTCGAATTGGAGTTTGGACGACCACCCACAACAAAACCCTAAGTGTTTAATAAGAACTAGGAGGTTTGCCCTTTAACTAACCTAGACTAGGAGGCATATAATGCACAAGGAAACCCATCTCTAGTAGAGCCTCTTAAGTTAAGGAGGGTTCTCTCTAACCTAGCTTAGGAGGCATTGAATGGCCAAGGAAACCCATCTCGAAATGAGCCTCTTAAGTTAAGGAGGGTTCTCTCTAAACTAGTTTAGGAGGCTGTGAATGGCCAAGGAAACCGAACCTCTTGGGTAAAGGAGGTTTCCTCTCTAAACTAGCCTAGGAGGCATGAAATGTCCAAGAACCCCATCTCAATATTGAACCTCTTAACCTAAGGAGGTTTCCTCTATAAACTAGCATAGGAGGCATGAAATGCCCAAGAACACCCAATGAACCTCCTAACCTAAGGAGGTCTCCTCTCTAATCTAGGTTAGAATGGCAATTAGATTGATAGGCTTTCACACAACACAATCATTTCTGAATAATACCTCCACATTCACATTAAAACACAACCACCCACAAACCATTCAATTCATACGAGCATTCACATAATTGTAGTTAGGGTTTACAAACACCCAAGTGAAAGAAGTGACTACTCCATGCTAGGAGAAGGGAAAACACAAAAGAGGAAAAGGAAAACCATCATGAAGATGCAAGCCTTGCTCCTTGTGCTGAAGAAACACCAAATCCTTGCTTGGAGATCAAACCCTAGTTTATCCTCTTCTTTGGTTCGTCACTTTCTCACTCTAAAATCTAAATAAGGAGAAGTTTTCTCACTCTAGATCTCCCTCCCTTCTACTTCCTTTCAGCTTTCCTTTTAAGTGGGAGATCGCGCTAAGTTCACGGCTTGCGTTCATGACCATGAACATTGAAACACGTCCGTGAACTCAGTGTCGCGACCAAAACGCACCGCTTCATTTGCTTGGGTTCACGGTCAGTGGCCCCTGTTCACGGTCTTAGCAACCGTGAACTGCCTGGGCGTCGGTAACTTGAAAACCCCCTTTGTTTGCTCCTCGCTTCACGGGTCATGGCTCTAGTTCACTGTCCTGTAAGACCGTGAACTCGAACGTCTGCCGTGAACTGCGCCTGTCTCCACCTCTTTGCCCGGTCTTTGCTCCTTTTCTTCCAACTTTTGAATCCGGGTTTGGTTTTACCTGTTAGGATCTGAAACACACTAAAACACAAGCAACCTTGCGTAAAACAAACCTTTTCGGAGTTTAGTTGCAATAAACGTCAAAGGTGATCGGGGGTAAAATGTGTACAATTAGGCCCGAATCACTCTCCCACACTTAGACGTTTCCTTATCCCCAAGCAAACCATTTCACACAAGGTAATATCTCAACCTAAAAAAATGCATGAGGGACAAATCAAAGGGCACTAAGTGGCGAATCTCAATGGCTATTGGCAATTAACACATGAACTGTTGCAATCAATACCGACATCCACCACAAACGACATTCGAGGTCACAAAAAACGGGCAAAAGAAAAGTTCTCGCCTTGTTCATGAATCAATGCAATTCTCAACAAGTTCACTTATAAACCAAAACTAACCATGCATAACATTCAAGTCCAAGGAACGAACGAATGGGAAACAAAGGTCCTCACCGAGGTATGATATGGCATGCAAAGCAAGAATGAATCACCATCATCAACACTCGGCCTTTTTGGTGCAAAGAATGTGCACAATAATCAACACTCGGCCCTATCGTCTCTTCACCACGGCGGCAACCTCTAAATGTTAGAGTTCACGGGACGGTTGTCATCACTAGCTTGTCCGGAGGTCTTAGACACGGGTTCAAATGACTGACAATTGTCTTGGACATGGGGAAAAGGCTTTTTGGGTGGTGGAAAACACATCATGAGGTCCTACATCTTCACCCTAAACCCGAAGGTTCTATGGTTTTGACTAAGAACCTTCCCTACAAACAATGGCCACTAGCATCGGCCAAAAACCTTGCTTCTCCCTTCCAACCTATCACCCATCATGAACTACCTTTAAGCGCTCTTCCTCGATCTTTCTTGCTATCACATTTTGACTTGGTAGTGAAGGAGTTCTAAAACACTGTTGTGGGGGTTTCAATGGCTTGCATGCCAAGAAACCTCACTTAGAGCATACTCTTCGAATCTTTTGTGGCACTCTCTACTTTATTGACCCCGTTCTATTACCTCTTTTCGTTTCTCTTTCTTTTTTTTTCTTTCTACTTTCCTTTTCTTCTTTTTCTTTTCTTTTTGAGGGGGTACTAGAGAGTTAAACACTTTCCACACTACTTTTGATAACCAATGCTCTCTTTTAAGAACTCACTCCATCACTACTCTTTTCTCTTTCATTCCTAGCAAGAACCGCGCACAGTCCTCCATGTAGAACCTCAATGGAACTCAAAAGCGAGAGCTTCGGGACACAAGGACGACACACGTATAGACACAAAGAAAGGATGGGGGGATCATTCTATCAAACACCATTAAGCTCACAACTGTGATGTTACTCGCCATGGTAAGAGGGATCTAAGCACACAAGAAGAAAACGATCGACTCAAAACTCACATGGCTACCTAGTCACCCAATCATTCATTCCACATTCACAAAACACAATGCATGGCAATTGCAATCAATAAGTAATCAAGTCAAGACATCCATTCATTTTTGCACATATGAGAACAAAATTTTTGCACTATCCTAATTCACCTCTCAGTCATCATCATAGGACACACTCGATCACATGCAACAATTCAAGATTAATGCCAATAAACACAAGATTCTCCTACAAACCGGTCACTTTTATCACGAAAACATTGCTTGGAGCCCTCAAAATTTTCAAATTTGGGCATACATCAAGGCTCCAAGCATCAATCACACTCACACAAGCATAAGAATAAACTACCCCCCCCCCCCCCCCCCCCCCCACACACACACACTTAAGTTCGACATAGCCCTCAATGGCGTAAGATAGGGGTACAACGATGTTACCGCTTTGCTTGGTGAGTGAAAGTTGGAATTTTTCCCGGGGTAGGAGATTTAAGCTTCAAGGAGAAGACAAAAACACACATACACAAACACAATATGACTCGCTCGAGGCGTGGTTATTACACATCACAATACGATAATAGTAGTTTATGATCACACACACAAAATAAAAGAAAGAAAAATAAAACAAAAGAGTTCAGAGTTCCAAGTGGAGTAGTGGGGCGAAAGGAATCGGCTATGCCACATATCTCCCTCGTCGGCTACCTCTCACTAGGTTGAAGGCCCCGACTCATCATCTGGAATGAGACCCTGGCGATGAGCCATCTACTCAAGGAGGTTGGTCTGCCAATCGAGTCGGGAAGTCACTCCCGCGACATGGGTCTCGAGGTGATCCATCCTCTGGACGAGGGGATCACCGACTGGTGGTGGTGGTGGTGGTACTGGGCGCTAGAGCGCGGGACGCCGAC